GTGACAGGTTGTTTTGTAATGATGACAGTGGCTATAATACAATTTTGCAATCGTAATTAGTTATAAACCAGATAAAAGCAACTCAGTGAATTGGGATTAGACAGGAACAGATCAACCCTGGCAATGAACAGCAGGGTTTTTAGATGCTTATCCTAATGTACCCAATAAGCTGATCACAGAATCGTGTACTAATGCTTTTCAAATGTGGCTTGTATAAAATACATAAAGTACATTTACTTTGTTACAGTCAAACTGTATGTCTGTGGACACTGGCATTTCAAAACTTGGCCAAATACTCCACACACTGAAGACAGCTAACCAAAAAAAGCCATGATACTTTGTTTCTAAGACTCAGATACTCGAAGTGCAAAGTTTATAAAATAGTTTTGTCTGCTTAAAGTTGTGTGATTTCATCAGTGCAACGGGAAAACATTATTTTGCTGAACCTACTGATCACTACAGAGTAGATCCAGATCTAGTGGATCATAATGTTGTAAATCACCTCACAGCAGTATAAATAATCACAATGCACTAGATTGTTGTCTCGTGGAACACCACATAGTAGATTACCATGCAGTAGCCCATTGCTTATTGGGTCAGAATAAAAGGTTCAAATCATTTAGAATAAAAGGTTCAAGTCATTTAGCACTCATAGAAGGATGAAGAATGAGGTGACATTGATTTAAAGTGATCTGCAAACGTAACAAATGCAATGTTTAAAAAAAAATACATTTTCACAAAATGAGTGGTTTGAGTCTGGAATGAACTGCCTGGAGGTATGGTGGAGGCCAAGTCAGTTCAAACATTCAAGGGGGTATTGGATAATTATTTGAATAAAAGCAATGCGCAAGGGTATGGGGAAAAGACAAGAGAATGGCACCAAGTCGTAATGCTTGATTAAGAACTAGTACAGTCAGGATGGGCCGAATGGTGTCTTTATTTTATGAGACGGATCCTCCTTGCTATTGGTTGGATCTGCTTTGGCAATTGGCTTGCAGGGGGTGCAGTGGCCCGTTTCTTATACCTTTCTTCATGGGATGTAGGTGTCACTGGTTAGGCCAACATTTTGTTCTCCGTTCCTAATTACCCTGAAGAAGGTGGTGGTAAGCTGCCTTCTTGAATCACTGCAGTCCATTTGGTGTAATTCACCCGCAATGCTGTTAGGGCGGGAGTCCCAAGATTTTGATCCAGTGGCAGTGAAAGAAGGACGATGTAGTTCCAGGTCAGGATCGAGTGTGGCTTGGAGGGGAACTTGCAGGCAGTGGTTTTCCCATTGTATCTGCTGCCCTTGTCCTATAGGGTGGAGGTTGTGGGTCTGCAAAATGCTGTTAAGGAACCTTGATGAGTTGTCGCAATGTATGTTGTAGACAGAACACGTTTCTGACACCATGTGTTAGTTGAGGAGGGACTGAATGTTGAGGATGGTGGCTGGTGCGATAATCAAGTGGTTGTGGATGATGTCAAGCTTCTTGAGTGTTGTTGGAGCTGCACTAATCTAGGGAATATTCCATCATACTCCCGACTTGTTCCTTGTGGACTGGCTTTGGGCAGTCAGGAGATGAATTACTCGTCTCAGAATTTCTGATCTCTCACTAGATTGGTATCAGGGATGACAAAATTAAGGGGTGATTTAATTTACATTTATGAAGTATTTTGATAAGTGTAAACAAAGAGCAACCATTTCCACTGGCTGGGGTGTCAGTTTACAGAGGCACAAATAAGAAAAATGGTAAAATAACCAGAGGGGCTGATGAGTAGAATGTCCTTTGCACACAACAACTTGCTCTGATCTGGAGTGTGCTGATTGAAAGGGCAGTGGAAGCAAATTCGATCGTAACTTGCAAAAAGGAATTGGGAAATGTTTGAATTGCAGAAACTTGCAGGGCTAGGGACAGGGCAAGTGGAACTTAATGGGCATGTCTTACAAAGAACCAGAACAGGAACGATGCCCTTTGTGGCGCACTGTATCAAATGAAGGCACATTCTCATTATAAATCAGTATGGCCAGTTGGTGCAATGACAGCTAAATGTCAGCAGGTGTCAGTCTCTGACAGATGTAAACAACAGGGTAAATAGGGACAGTAAATCATCTCAGAATCCCACTCATTTTGGAGTGTGTCTGGGGGTGTCTACACGCGAATCTTCCAGATGAAGCAAAGCTACTTCAAAGGATCCATTTTTCAAATCAGAATTTCACAATAAACTTCAAAGCAAAACATTATCCGTTTCATTATCTAACAATGTTAATTGTCTTGGATGGACAGCAACACAGAAAGTTCTGTGTTCGTTGCCTCCGAGGGATAGCTTATGTGGCGAAATTCCTTAAACTGGGCTCCTCTTCACTGGAACAAAGATTTTAGGATTCAGACAAAAATCGATGGCTAGAGAAACCATTTCTACTGGTGGTGTTGGGGGAGGTGGAGTGTGAAGTCTAGGATGAAGGAGCACAAATGTAAAATCAGTGTCAGGACATTCACGGAAGAAAGTGGGAAACATTTCGTGACAGAAAGGGTGGCAGGAGTGTGGAAGTCACTCACAGTGAAGGTGACAGATGCTGGGGATCACTTAATAATTTTAACTTGAGATTGATCAGATCAGCAATGTGTAGGCCAGGTGGATTAGCCACGGGAAATGTACAGTTATAGGGATAGGTGCGGATGGGGTGGCGGGGGCGGGGGGGATGTGTGTTGGGTCTGGGTGGGATCTCTTTGAACGGTCAGTGCGGACTTGGTGGGCAGAATGGCCTGCTTCCATGCTCTAAGGAGTCTACGATTCCTGGACAGGAGTATGAGGGGACGGTGGAATATTTTAGTACAAGATCTGTTATGATCACACTGAGAAGTGGAACAGACTTGAAGGGCTGAACGACTTCCTGTTTACTGCAACATTCCAGTGAACATTTGGAAGGTCCAGCAGAATGGATAGGTTTGCTAGAATTGAATAATGGAGCTGGCCACCATTGGAGAAACATTGTTTTTGTGTTTCTGTTCGGTGAACCGAGACCAATTTAAAAGGGGAATAACAGAGTGGAGAGTTTGTAAGGGTAGAAGGGTCACCTTGAATGCAGCTCCTGCTTGTTCTCTCTAAGTTCATCAAATTATTCCTGAACTCATTGATCAATCAGTACCAAATCAGACAGGACATGTGGACTTAGTCCAATGGAGGAGTTTGATAATGGCGGGACAGTTTGTTAGCACTTTTAGGGAGGGTTTAAATTAGCTTGGCAGAGGGACAGGAAACTGAACATAGCTTCAAAGAGAAGTGAAGCTGAAAATGGAGGGCAGAAAGTTTGCAAATGGGTATAGATGATTGAGGAAACAGAGGCTAGAAAATGGAGTTGTTTGGTCATTGGTTGTAAAACTAAACACAAGAAGTTTAGGAAATAAGACCGAGAAGCTGAGAGCACAGATTAACATCTGGGACTACAATATAGCTATTAATGAGACACAGTAGAAAGAGGGAAGCAATTGGTATCAACACTCCTGGTTACAGGGTCTTCAGATAACAGAGGGGGATATAAAAAGGGGAGTTGGTTAATATACATTCACAGCTGTGAGGAGGGAGAACATGATAAACAATCATTAAATGAGACCATATGGCTTGAACTGAATAACAAGATAGGTGCAATGAGACTGCTGGGAGCGCACAACAGCGTCCCAAATACTTGGGCAGAAAGGAGGAGGCAGCTTCTGCGCTCTTGAGCCTGGGTCTCGGCCATTCCATCTACTTTTTTCTTTTCTTGTCTATTTCTGTTTTTCTCTTTTTTCTTAGTATTTTAGCAGCTTTTTTTTAAACTTACCTCCTGGAGAGAGCTTGGTCGTGAAGGCAGCAGCGGGGACAGAGCATGGCATCAGCTGGGGCCCAGCGTTAGCCAGATGGTGGTTGGTGGCGAAACAGCTGGTGAGCCTGGGCAGGATTTAGTCCAGAGCGGGTGAAAGCGAACCCTTGTGGGGAAAGCCCAGCACTGAGCGACTGCAGGCCCATGGCTTAAGCAAGTACTATAATGTTTAATTTTTAACTTTATTTCTTTATTTTTCTGCTTTACACTAAGAAGAGCTGTAGTGACAAACTTTTTAACTTATTTCTTTATTTTTAAAACTTAACAAATGTAAGACTTTGTACCTAGGAACCTTTTTACCCAGTAAAACCCAAAAGAATTGCGGATGCTGTAAATCAGACACAACAACAGAAGTTGCTGGAAAAGCTCAGCAGGTCTGGCAGCATCTGTGAAGAAAAATCAGAGTTATGTTCCTCAAACTGAAATATTAACTCTAATTTCTTTCTGCAAATGCTGCCAGATCTGCTGAGCTTTTCTAGCAACTTCTGTTGTTGTGAACATTGTACCAAAGATGGCGCTAGGAATGGTGACATTGTACACTTTTCTGTGACGTTGTACACTTTTCACTGTCCTCCTGTGTCCCTGTACTTGAGTAATCATGACAATAAAATCTAATTCTAAATCTAAGAAGGGCAAATATATGGTCAAATTCCACAAAACCACAGAAGCCAAAGAGGGCAATAATAGTAAGAATTTCAACTATCTTAAAAGATAAAATCAGAGGGTATTGATAGTGTAGAATTGTTCAGATACATTTCAGTAAATGTTGTAAACCAATATAAGAGAAAAAAAGGTAACAGTCCAGATTAGGTTTTAGAGAATGGAGCTGGGCAGGAGCAAGGGTTATCAGTTGGGGAGCACTTTAACAGCAGTGACCATAATTCAGTTAGATTTACAGTAGTAATGGAAAAAGTTACTAAGAGTAAAAGTTTTAAAATAGATAAAGACAATTTTACTAAGCTGAGGTATGATTTGGAAAAAGTGAACTGAAACTACTTATATACATTTTTGTAAAGTATAGGACTACAGAATTAGGAAAATGGGATTAGACTGGATACCTTTCTTCTGCTGCCAGCATAGACATCGTAGGTCAAATGGTATCTTAATGTCTTACAAATCTTTTAATATTACCATTGAAAATAAAGCAGGTCAAAACATTTCATTTTAAAACACAAAATTATTAATTTTAATCTTCATGTCTTATAATGTACAAATAGGTCTGGAGAAATAGAATTGGTTTAGTTAACTGCATCACAAAACAAAGAGTGTCAATCTTCCATGTAAACGCTGAACTTCCAGAGATGTGTGTCGTACATGGACTGTTTTGAGTACCGACATGTTTCTGCATCAAGCAAGTTCAGTATGTAACAGCCAGATGATCCATATTCCATTACTGAACCATTTTACTAAACTTTAATACAATCCGTATAAAAAATACAAAACCGAAGAATAAAGGCCTCTTAGGTAAGCAATGAATCAAGTTATTCAAGTGTACAAGATAAAATTTACAAAACCCTGATAATAATGGACTGATTCCAATCAGGGGAGACAGAGCATCAATGAGACAGGGAACATTGATAACAAGATTCTCTAATCAAAAACTCATGGCATTGACTTTCTCCTGGTTGGGTCCTGAGCTATGGAGTTCCCTCCCTAATACTCTCTATCTCTCTCCTCTCCTTTAAAATGCTCCTTGAAACCTATCTCTTTGACTAAGCTTTCGGTCACCTGTCCTGTTGTTTCCTTTCTGTGGCTCGGTGTCAAACTTTGTTTGATAATTGCCCCTTGAAAGCGCCTTGGGATGTTTTACTATGTTAGATGTGTATATAAATGCAAATTGTTATGTCGCAATTTGACAATTCCTGTTTCAATTGGATGGAGAATAGTGGGATGGGAATTGGGAACATTCGATTTGGACTTCAATGGGTGATGCTCTTCATTTGGAACATAAAACACTAAAAATCACCCCTTAATGCTGTGTCACCACTTCTCAGATAACAGTCTTCATTGCTTTCTGTGTCTCCTCTTCCCTGCCCCATCTCCAGTGCTTTCATACTGAGGAGAGCTCAGCTGGATATTAGTTCAAACCATTTGCAATGTATGTGCTAAGTAATGCAAGGAGGCAGAAATTTCTGGACTGTATGTTGACAAAAGCAATGAACAGCAGCTGAAAAGCAGGAATAGTTGACCATTCAAACATTATTTCTAGTTTCGTTTAGTGAGTCTAAGCTGATTGAAAGATCACTATAGAATTCAGAAGAACAGTAGCTTTGATTTCTCAAATGGCTTTAAGTTTTGTACAATTGGAAAATTGCGTGTTCCATTACCCACAGTTTTAGACACACACACACACACACACACACACAAGAAACATTCAGGTATGATTATTAGTCTGATAGTAATCTATTAGTAAAAGAATCAATGGTTCTAGGTACCTTTCAGAGTGATTGATGTAGCCAACAACATTTTCATAGCTGAAACCTTGAGGCTGTCCTAGTTCTGCCCTGGTTAAATGTGAGTTGTAGAATCCAGACTACCTTGAGGTCCCTCCAACTCGCACACACCCCACATTCAGACACCCAAACCGATCTATACACACACACACGTTAAAGATCTAGCTAAGCACGTGAGATTCCCCATTCCTGCTCTTTAATCCTACATTCCAAGGAAGGTGATTTACCAGGAATGCTCAGTTACATCTGAAATCAGCAGCTGTGTAACAGAGGATGAAAGGATACCAGGACTTGTGGTTATTGAGCTCAAACAAAAGACTGGTGGTGAAGACTTGTTTAAAGTAACTTGCAATCGTGGAGCCTTTGCATATAATAGTACATATTCCTTAGAAAAATAGTACAAAGTGTTGCAGTTTAATGGCATTTAGCAACCCCAAATGAAGATTGAAGGAGACTAATGATACTAATTGGACATAATGACTACAAGAGGATGACTGTTGAATAGTTTAATGACAGTGTATATTCCATAGCACCTTCGTGAAGATTTCCCAATAATATATACTAAATATTAGGGATGATTTTACAATGTCTTGCCAGCAATAATGGGAAGCTTGATTTGCTGGGTGAGCCTTTCAGGGATACCCTGACATGGAGATTCCCACATGTAAAATCAGCCCTTGTTATATAAACTCTGAGCCACTTCCAGAAAACCCCTTGTTTTTATGCAACAGTAAATACCACAATGTCTTCATGTCACAGAAGATTTTGTTGTCTTTACAGCTCCTTGATTCAATCTCATATCCACAGTCAGGAAACAAACAAAACCTTAAATAGAAACTATTTAGTATATATTAAATAGATGGGAGAGAGTTAATCAGCATCTGACTTACTGAGGAATGGTGGCGTGCAGGTTATGTTACTGGACTAATAATCCAGAGGCCTCTAACAATGATCCAGAGAAATGAGTTCAAACCCCATGGAGGGTGGTATTCAAAAATTCAATGAATTGATAAATTTGGAATAAATTGGCAGCCTAATGAATAGCTATGAAATGGCTGGATGGTTGCAAAATTCGTCTGGTTCACTAATGTTCTTCAGAGGTGGAAACATGCCATCCTTACCTGGTGTGGCATTCATGTGATGCCAGATTCCTTCTTTCACTGCCCTCTGAAATGGCCTGGCAAGTCACTCAGTTGGTTGCCACTGAACGTCCACATCCCAGGAGAATGCCTGGGACACCTGCTGAGCTGTGGGACAGGAGCACAGATCGGAATCTGAGGACGTGTCATTCTCCCTCTCCCACCTTCACCGCTCCCACTCATCCAGCCTGGTTGTCTGGGCAGTCATTTTAATCAATGCACTGCACATTAAGCACACACACCTCTCAGTGGGACTTTGGGCCAAGAGAGTTGCTTTGTAAAGTCTTAGCCTCGCTCATACACTGCTGTCATCATTTGCAAACGCTTCAATGCTGTTTGCAGCCTCTTAACTCTCTCCCATCTTTTCATTGTACTGTAAGTATTTTTATTTCTGTTAATATTCAGTGCATTGCTTTAATAAACAAAGTGCCATTTAGTATGTCAATAGTAGAAAGCTTATATGGTTTTTCTTAGAGCAGTAGGGCACCTGGGTATTGCAGGAAAAGCATTTTCTTTTGTATCTCCATTCCTATTGCTATGTATTTTTTCTTTCATTTGTCACAATAGATGAGTGAGGTACACAGGATATTGTCATATTGCTTTATTATAGAAATAGCACCATAGTTCATTAGAGGATTGCGAGACAGCTGACCAACTTGGCAGTCTCAGATTGTATTACGTCTTCTTCATGCAGACTTGGCAGCGACTAATGCGAGTGCGCAGCTCTCCCGCCTTGAGCGTCTCCGATTCCGGTTTGCTGGAAGAAAACAGAAACAATATCAGGAAGCAGCTCTTTCCAGAGGCTGGTATGTCCCGTACAAATTCCATCCAAGTGACATCCGGGATCAGTCACAGGATCACAGCCTCCTGATCAATCAGGTGTTCGCAGCCTTCAAACGCCCCTGTCTGGGAGGGAACGACCTTATTTCACTGACGTTAAAGTATCTTACGGAGGGAGGGCCGCACTCTCAGTGATTGGTTCTCTCATTGCTGTTTGTTGGAGCTTGCTATGTGTAAACTGACATCTGCATTTCCTTCTTACGACACTTAGCTGTAAAATATTCTGCAATGTCCTGAGTCTGTAGAAATACAGGTCTTCCCTTTTTATATTATTAAGGGTGATTGCACTTTAACCCTGGAGTGAACTGGAGTGAGATGAGTGCTGGCTTATTATTAAAGGTTGAAAAAAAGCTCTGAAACTCTTCAAAGAAATGATCAGTTGAATTCTCCGTGTTGGGTCAGGTGAATTGGTTAAGAAGATGGCAACAGGACAGGTGGTGTCCAGTGCTTACTCCTAATATTCCATCCACCAGAAACAGCAAATCACTTCACACCGTATGTGCACACTATGAACAATCCTGTTCAGCACAGCCAGTGAAAATGCCGAGTGTGTAGTGCCCAGGAGCTCCCCTCACTAACCTGAACATCTCGGTGCTCTCAACAGTTGCGAGCCAGAAGCTGTAAGAGTTTGCATAATAATTGCAGGTCCCTCGCCCGTGACACTCGATGAAGGGAGCAGAACGGAATGACTCCAGGCATGAACCAGGTGATGATAAAGCCTGTCCTGTCCCCTCAGCTCCGGAACTGGTGTGCTGCATGCAGAGAGAGAAAAGACTGAATGAAACACTTGTGTCGACCAAACCAATCACTCAATACAAATGGAGGACAACTGTACACAAGCACTTTCCTGGTCCCTGCCTCTTTCATTTTCTCTGTTGTTACCTTACCCTCCCGTTACTCAAATGTTCCTGTTCTAATAGGTGTGCAGGAATTTTCTGCAACAGCTGTTCTCAAGTCCTTTATTTACAGGAGGAAATAGTCAGTTTCCAGCCAGGAGCAAGGCTCAGAGAAGTTGGCACGGTGGCTCAGTGGTTAGCACTGCTGCCTTGCAGCACCAGGGACCTGGGTTCATTCCCAGCCTCGGGTGACTGTCTCTGTGGAGTTTGCATGTTCTCCCAGTGTCTGAGTGGGTTTCCTCCCACAGTCCAAAGATGTACATGTTAAGTGGGCCAGCCATGGTAAAAACCCGATACAGGGTTATGGGGATGGGGTGAAATGCTCTTCAGAGGGTTGGTGCAAACTCAATGGGCCAAATGGCCTCTTTCTGCACTGTAGGATTCTATCTTTCCATGAAAGATGGGCACAAACCCACTGCAGTGCTCACAATGCTGTCAGATGGGGCTCAGTGGCTAGCACCCTCACCACATAGTTGGATGGTACTGGGATTAAATCCCAGAGCTTGTGTACAAAAATCCAGGCTGGCTCTCCCACTATCAAGTTGGTCAAACCCACCACCCCCCCCCCCCCCCCCCCCCCCCCAACCAAGGTAGACAGGGTGGTGAAGAAGGTGTTTGGTACGCTTGCCTTTATCTGTTAGTGCATTGAGGATAGGAGTTGGGAGGTCATGTTGCCGCTGTGCAGGACACTGGTTAGGCCACTTTTGGAATACTGCATTCAGTTCTGGTCTCCTTGCTATCAGGATGTTGTGAAACTTGAAGGGGGTTCAGAAAAGATTTACAAGGATGTTGCCAGGGTTGGAGGGTTTGAGCTATAGGGAGAAGCTGAATAAGCTAGTGGGCCTATTTCCCCTAGAGTGTCAGAGGCTGAGGGCTGACCTTATAGGGGTTTATAAAATCATGAAGAGGGCATGAATAAGGTGAATAGTCATGGTCTTTTCCTTAGGGTAGGGGTGTCCAAAATTAGAGATCATAGGTTTAAGGTGAGAGGGGAAAGATTTAAAAGGGACCTAAGGGGCAACTTTTTCATACACAGGGTGGTGCATGTATGGAATGGGTTGCTGGAGAAAGTAGAGGCTGGTACAATTACAACATTTAAAAAGCATCTGGATGAGTATATGAATAGAAAGGGTTTAGACGGATATGGGCCAAATGCTTGCAAATGGGACTGGATTAATTTAGGATATCTGGTCGGATGAGTTGGACTGAAGGGTCTGTTTCCATGCTGTACAGCTCTATGACTCTGACTCTAAGACCAGTGACGTTCTTTACTGTTCTGGTTCAAGGGTTCAATTAACTTGAACTAGGCCCCATCTACAATCTGGTCACATCCTGATGCCAACACTGTGAGATTTTGCCAATTGCATTGTTTAGGAATTCATCAGATTATCATCATTCTCTTACAAGTACACTGCTACTGATCGGCAGATTACAAAAGTTTCTTCACATCAAAACATATTTATTTCATTACAAAACTGACTGGTGTACACCAAAGAACAAGTACTTAGTTCAGAGAAATTATTTTTAAGTTATTTTCAGTATTTTAAATAAGGTCACTCACAGGTAGAAGGCAGGGCACACTGATTAAATGTGTCTTATTTTGACGAATAACCCCATTAATAAACTCTACAGTTTCCACTCTTCAATTTATCAAGGAAAATGGTTAAACAGAGAGAGAAAAGCAAATGATTACATTACATCTCACTCTGATTGCACTTATGGTGGATTTTATCCTTGTGAATATGCAAATTAATTTTAGTAGAACCTTAAGGCCAAATGTAATTACAAACACATTTTGTGTACAGCCTCCTGATTGTGCCCGAAGCAACAATTCTGCTCAAATGTGTCTGATGCTTACCATCATGAAGGAGTAACCGATCCAGAGGGAAATCCAACCATTGGGGCAGAGTGGGATTTGAATTGTTTGGCTGTGGACAGCAATCACCATTGCCGGAGCTTCACAAACAGAGCATCTGAAGAGAAGTCAGCAGTTTATTATGTTATTCCAACCACGTGGGGCCAACATTCAAAGATCAACCAATCAATTCGATAAGTTGAAACCTGTCATCGGCCTTTCAATTCCAAGTAGCTCAGTAACTGGTCACTGCTCCCTGGCCTCCCTCACACATAACTCCAGGAAACTTTGTAAATTCCCTGCAGTAATCAGCTCTTTTCCTGTGGGCTACCCTGAGTGTGTGAAAGAGAATATAATGTGAATATATATCCCCTCCCAGTCTGCAGCTAGCGCTGGGACACTCTGACTGCATGTCTGGGATAGTGAGATAGTCATTGGGATAGTGAGATACTCATTTGGGATAGTGAGATACTCATTGGGATAGTGTGATACTCATTGGGATAGTGAGTTACTCAGTGTCATTTTGCACATATTTTATACTTCCTTATCTCATGTACCATTCTCATTGCCACAATAATTGCACTTCTAAAGCTGATTTCAGGAGCTTGCTGCATTGTTTGGAGGAGCCACATCTCACCTGAAGCCTACTTCCGAGGTCCAGGCTCAATCCCTATCAATGAATTCCCATTTGTGGACGTGAAGGGGCCGAAAATACAACTGAGTTAATGATTGTTTCTGAAGGGCAATGAGATTCCACAATGCTGACCTCACACGGGGGTTCAGATTGCACATAAGTCGCAAATAGAAAGGAAGAAAGCAGACAAGGCCTGGTTTAAGCTACAAAATTCAGCAAACGGCACGGTGCTGAATCTTTGCAAACAACTGTGTGCCTGTAATAAATTCCTGCTCAGACTATTGCTGTGTCCTCAGTAGAATGAATTTATAAACACAGAAACAGGCCATTCGGCCTGTGCTGGTGTTTATTACAAGGTTCCTCCCAGCCCTCTTCATCTCAGCTTATCTACATAACCATCTATTCCTTTCTCCGTCGTGTTTATCCAGCTTCCTGTTAAGTGGATCAATAACCAAGAACAGCTTTCTTCTTCTTGGTGGGTACAAACCCTGTCTCTTTGATCTTTCCTGATGTTTACATCTACCTTTAGCAGATACCATTCTTGTGATTAGTGCCTGGCTGTTTAATAACTAGCTGTGTGAAGATGTTTCTGTTAATGAAACACCTTTTTTCTTCTAAGAATAACAAAATAAGGTGACGAGACATAGTTAAGATAATTGGTAAAAGAGCCTGAGGGTAGATGAGTAGAATTTTTTGTTAAAACGCTGAGTTTTGGTGGTTCTGGAATGTGCTCCTGAAAGGGCAGAAGAAGCAAATTCAATAATAATTTCCAAAAGGGAATGGATGTAAGCAGAAACATTTGTAGGGCAATGGGAAAGAGCAGGAGAAAATATAGCTCTTTCAATTAATAATAGACTGATTGGCTTGCCTATGTGTTATGAGATTCAGTAATTCAGACTCATGTCCTCTATGATACTCTGCCTTTATTGACATGTAAACAATTACACTGTACCAAAATATCTACAGTCTCACCTGCTGATAAATGGCTCAATGGATTGACCAACCACAGGAGCCATACTCATTGGCATTGGTTCTGGCGTGGCCAGCCAATAGGAATAGTCATTTCTTGATGCGAAATTGCAGACGTTGTTGATGTTACAGAAAAGGAATGGCATCGTGCTGAATCTACGCAAACAACTGCCCGCTGTGCCTGCATTGGGAAAGAACAAGGTTAGTCCAGGGGCACCACAGTACTGGGATGGCCTTGCCTCTGAACATTCGCACAGGATCAAACTACTGGAACATCTCTCCATGTCAAAGGATTGACTGGGCGTTGGTAATAACCATTAACACTTTAAATTGCTTGTGGAATCATATGAGCCTGGGGGCAAAGCTGAACTGATCCAACAGAAGATGTGGAAAGCTATCAGTCTCCATGCATGATTCTTGATCTGTGCTCCATCTCCAGAGTTTCCTGTTTGTGAAGTGATTCTCTCATTGTTCACATGCTGGAATGGTGGCTTTTAGCTGGGATCTCAATGGGGCTGTACCCATGGGTATGGGCTTAAAACTAATGGCCAAGGATCCAACAGTGGCACCCATTTCTTACTGCAAATGCCCCCAAGTCTGAACTTGGCCATTATACCCCTTGTTTATGCAAATCCAGTGTTTAACATTCATTCAAAAACCCATTTGTATTGATTTCAGTATATCTCATTACTGAGGCCAGTCAAGCCAGTGGCTTTTACATTGTTTCTGGAAGCTGTCTCTAGTGTTTAAACTTCCGTTCCTCCTGTATACATGCTCTCACTGCCAGCTGATACTGCCCCCTTTCTCCCGACTGTCTCGCTCTCCTCCTCCTGACTGCCTCACCCTATCCCATTCCCAACTGGTTCACCTATCTCCTCCTCCAAACTGATCTACCCTCTCTCTTCTTGGGTCAGTTTTAGAATGGTCTTGATTTTCACTCATGCCAGGGCTAGCCAGTTGCAAATTGAACCAATAGCTGACCTAAGAGTCAACTCTAAGGGTTCAGGCTTGAATGCATTACCGCTTTATAAATCCTTTTGCCCATTATTCCTGGGACTCACTATTGCAGCTGAATCTTACCAGAAGTTAGCAAAGTAAATTTTGGCAAATTCACGGAGGTCAGATTCATGAGCCCCGGTGAGTTTTCTCATGCTATCTTCTCAATCTCACCTCGTCAACCAGGTACCACACTCCATAGCACCCTACTCATCCTATTTGACCACTTGCCATAGGCTGCAATACTGACCTTCTGGGATTCCTGGCACTGGTGCCATCTTTAAAGCTCAGCTGAGCCCCTGGCGAAGTGACAGCAGTTTGCCCGACTTGTCCTGGACAAGTCAAACAGAGGGTATCCACTCTGCCAACGGAGCCCTGCTTGATGGGTGGTGTATGCAGTTGCTGTCCAGGGAATGAGCCAGCAAGAAAGAAGTCAGGCTGGATCTCCGATTTCTCCCATTCAGCCCATTGAGCCTCCCAGCGAGGTGCGTACTGTCCCAAGATTTTTCCTTGATTCGAAGCATCATCTAGGCCCCTGGTCCCACTCACTAACACGGTTTGGACCATGTGAACAGGAGGAACTCTGAGGAAGTTACAGCCTATCTGCCTGGAGTAGCAATCCAGGAAGTATTCTCAAGTGACGAAGTATAGCACTGGTGGGCCCTTGCAATAAGATGCTTTACATTGAGATGTGGAATAGACAGATGGAGAGAGAGAGAGAAAAAAAAGATAGGTGGAGAGGGAGACAGATGTGTAAGAGATGAGGGTGAATCAGTACGAGGATAAAGAGGTAGAAACGTTTGGTAAAAGATGAAGAAAGAAATGACACTGACAGGGAAAAAGAAATCAGTCAGTCGTGTCTTTCCTCTTGTGTCTTGGGCCTTCTATCTCGAACTTTCCAGTGGAAATGTTTCAAAGATTTCCTGAAAACCCCATTGAAGAAGATGCGCTTTGAACTCACCAGCTGGGAAAAGAGTGTACTGTAGCCCCAATGGCGGTGATCCATGCTTCAGTATAATGTCACTGGCTTTGGAGCAAGGAAAATGATGGAAAACATTCCCAGCCTTTCAATCACTCACCCAAGTCTTGACCGTGAGCCCTTTCATTGCCCTGGACATAAAGCAGCGAGAAGCCATCATAGATTTTCGACATCCCTTGAGGACAACTGGGAGCCTCTGCTGTTTGACTGTGTCGGGTCACAAGGAAGCCGTGAGCTATCGAAGGAGGCCCAGGATATCCCCGAGGACCAGGAGTTCCTTCTGGGCCTGCAGGTCCTGGATAACCCCTTGGACCTTAAAGGACAGAGGCAGAAATGAGCCAATTACATTTCATAACATATGTGTGTTAGAATAGCTCCTTTAATGCAATTAAACATCACTGGAATTGTGATAAGTGCACATTCAAGTTGACACTGTGGTATGCAAGGAAATACTGAGGCAGGTGATACTCAAAAAGGGAAGCTTTTAAAGGAAGATAGTGAGACAGAATGGCTCAAATGAAAAAGTCCAGAGTGTAGGGTCCAGGTAGCAGAAACTATGTCTGTCAACAGGGATGGAGCAATGGAAACCTAGGATGTGGAAGGGACCTCAAGCTGACTAGTGCAGGGATGTGTTGGGATGAAGGAGGTCACAGCAGTAAGGAAGGATGATCCATGATGGGATATAACACAAGTGTGAGAAATCTAACATCAAACATTTGCTTGGCCCAGAACTCAGCAAGCACAGGAATGAGGAATAAATGGGAATTCAAATGAGCTCGAGTTTATGGGGGCGGGGGGTGTGGGTTAAGTGGGAGAGCAGTCTGGAGGCTGTCGGAACAGGTGAATGTGGAGGTAACATATGCATGGAGAAGATGAGCAGCAGAGGTCAGGGTGGTGTTGAGTGTTGTTAGAGAGATGGAAATAAATAGCCTTAGTGATGAAATGGATCAGAACTCAGGGTGACAGAGATGATCAGGTCGAAGTTTAGCTTAGCTTTGGACCGTTTCAAGTTGGGAGAGGGATGGAGTCAGTGGCAAGGGAATAAAAATTGAAGCAGTGACAAAAGACAATGATTTCAGTCTTCTCACTATTTAATTGCTCATCCAGCATTGGATAAAATCAAACTCTGAATCAGTGAGATTTAAAATTGCAAAACACAGGTATATTTTTAAAGAAGGTGGGCTAGTGGCAATATCAGTAGACTAGTAATCCAGAAGTTCTGGCTGACGTGCTGATGGTACAGATTCAATTCCTACTTGGGCAGCATGACATGTACATTCCATTAATAAGTCTGGAATGGAAAGCCAGTCTTGGTATTGGTGAAAATGCCAACTATCAGCAATTGTTGCAAAATTCCATCTGATTCACTAATTATTTTTCTTTTTATCCACAGATGTGGGCATCCCTGGTGGGCCAGCATTTATTGCCCAACCCCAGAGGGCAGTTGAGAGTCAACCACATTGCTGTGAGCCTGGAGTCACATGTA